GATGCATTTGTCGGTGCGTGTGGTGGCGCTGGAGTGTTCATCGTTGATTGCTGACGCGCGAAGTCACATTCCGCCGTGAGCGTCGCAATTTCGAGCGCTGAATCTTCAAGTTGGCAAACCAAACGGTCGAGCTGCTCCTTCGTCAATGTGGCGAGCGTGAATTCGGCCATGGCGGGGTGTTGGACGAGCTCAGCGAGAGCCTCGGTCGTGGCCGTGCGTGCTTACGAGAGAGCACTACGAGCGGCGGTGCTGTGTCGCAGAGAGACGTCTACCCCCCCGAAAATTGAGATGGTGGGGAAGCGAAGGTGTGGGTGCGGTCCGAGAGGAGATCGTAGGCTCTGAATACCAGGTGTTACGAGTGCAATTGAGTGAACGAACGAGAATTGCACTATCGAAGGAAGAGTACAATGAGCGAAGTGACGAGAAGTGAGAATGGAATGTATGAACTATGAAACAGTTGGGTACAAGTACTAACCCTAATTGCGTTGTACCCCTTATGGGCTACCCCACTACAGCCTACACAAATGTATAAGCTATGATGTTCTGACACACCCCCATAGGCAAAGTGGGGGAGAACAAGTGGTCACAAGACCAGTCAAGCAAAGCAAAGCAAAGCAAAGCAAGCTCAGGGTGGATCACAAAGTCACCACACAGTCCAAGCAAAAGAGTAAGGCCACAAGGCCAGTTCACATGCAAGGTCATATATATAAAGGTAAAACACGCAAGGGCATGTGTAGAAAGAAGACAGTACAAACAAGATCAAGAAGTGAGCAAGTGAGGCCAGGTAGGCACAAGACCTAGCACAGTACAGAAGCGCTGATGATCACAAGGCGGAAGGGCCTTGGTGAAGATATTAGCAATGTTGGCCTCAGAGGCCACGTAGGTGAGGCGGAGCTGACCACGCTGCTGTAGCTCACGAGACAGGAAGTAGCGGAGAGCAATGTGCTTCGTTCTGTGCTCCAGTCTGTGCTCCCGACACAAGGCCAACATGGCCTTGTTGTCTACGTACAGAACTGGAGAAGAACGAGGCGGCTCTCCTAGGTCAGTCAGCAGGTAGGTGAGCCAGCGTAGCTCCTGTGCAGCCATGGCCCCTGCGTAGATCTCAGCCTCACAGCTGGAGCCGAGAACAGAGGACGAGCGGGTAGACTGCCACGAAACACAGCCGGAGCCAAGGCTGAAGGTGTAAACCTATGACGACCGCTGCGTAGCCTAGTCGTCAGCCCAAGAAGCGTCAGCGTGACCTGTGAGGACTACTCGACGTCGCCCTCCAAGCACTAACCCCATGCCCGACGTACTGCACACGTAGCGCAACACCCTCTTCGCTACAGCCATGTGCTCTGGTCGGTGTCTCCCAGAAGCAACATAGCGTGCCAAGATGCTAAGAGGGTATGCAAGGCCAGGTCGTGTGCAGGTCATCAGGTACATGAGGCAGCCAACAAGCTCTGGGGACGGGCCACTCGACTCTACGGACTCATCCGAAGGCAGAGCTGAGAGCGAGTGGCGAGTAGATAGAGGAGTGGCCTGAGGCGAGGAGTACGTGAAGCCGAAGCGCTGAAGGACCTGCTGCACCATGTGTGATTGAGTCAGGGTAATGGTGCGCTGTGCTCTGTCCCGGGTAATCTGCAAGCCAAGGTAGCTGCGCAGTTCACCCAGGTCTGTGCACGTGTGTCTCTTCTGCAGCTCGGACTTCACGTGGGCGAGTCCAGCAGTGGCAAAGACCAGGTCGTCGACGTACACGAGGATGTAGAACGGCGGCAAAGAAGTGTCTGTGCGTAGAAACAGCGACGGGTCGGCTGTAGAAGGAGCAAACCCAAGAGCCACAAGTGTAGTCCTCACTGTGTCGTGCCACTCACGGGGCGCCTGGCGGAGATCGTAGACTGGCCGCCAGAGGCTCCACTGGGTTCCAGGAGGAAACGACCCAGTGCAGCCAGGAGGGCGGCGCAGCCAGATCTCCTCGTGCAGGCTGCCCTGCAGGAAAGCAGTGCTGAAGTCAAGAGAGTGAAGCTCGTAGTCGCGCTGAGCGGCTATGTGCAGCAGCACCGGAAGAGTGGTCATCTTCGGGGTGGGAGAGAAGGTCTGAAAGTAGTCAACTCCCTGCTGCTGACTGAAGCCTCGAGCCACGTAACGCGCCTTGAAGACAGGCGGAGAGCCCGGCGGCCGCTTCACCCTGAAGATCCACATCCCACTGACGATGTTCGCCCCAGGTGGGGGAACCTCGTCGACGTAGGTGCCTGTGGACTTCCAGGAAGCCATCTCTGCATCCATGGCCGACTGCCACTGAGAGGAGTAGGGACCCTCGATCGCCTCAGCGTACGATCGAGGAGTCGGGATGTCTGGTGCATCCGGGTCTCCCTCAGGGGCAATCAGCGTGGACACAAGATGGGGCAAAGCAGCTGCAAAGCACTGGAACTCCTCCTGCCTGTCCTCAAGGACGTCCGTGCTAAACCCTAAACCCTGAACGCTAGGGGAAGCCATAACAGCAGGAGGCAGGGCAGTGCAGTGGCAGAGACTGTGCTCTTACCAGGTAGGTGGAGCGATCGGGCTGCTCGGCGGCTCGGCTGTCGGGCGACTCGGCTGCACGGCGGCTCGCCTGCTGGGCGGCTCGCCTGCTGGGCGGCTCGGCTGCTGGTGCGGGGCGGCTCGACTGTCGGGCGGCTCGGGTGCTGGGCGGCTCGGCTGCTGGGCGGCTCGGCTGCACGGTGCTGGGCGGCTCGGCTGTCGGGCGGCTCGGCTGCTGGGCGGCTCGGGAGGTCGGGCGGCTCAGGTGGCCGGCGGTTCGGCTGCTCGGCGTTGCGGGCGCTGGGAGGCGGGGTCGCAGGTGGTGGCGAGGTCGCAGGTGGCGGCGGGCCGCAAGGGTGGGCGGGCCGCGGTGGCGACGGGGCCGAAGTGGGGCCAAAGTGGGGCCGTAGAGGGGCCGACGGGGCCGAAGTGGGGCCGTAGCGGGGCCGCAGCGGAGCCTAAGCGGGGCCGTAGCGGGGCCGACGGGGCCGTAGCGGGGCTGTAGCGGGGCCGACGGGGCCGACGGGGCCGTAGTGGGGCCGTAGTGGGGCCTAAGCGGGGCCGACGGGGCCGACGGGGCCGTAGCGGGGCCGTAGCGGGGCCGTAGCGGGGCCGTAGCGGGGCCTAAGCGGGGCCGACGGGGCCGTAGCGGGGCCGTAGCGGGGCCGACGGGGCCTAAGCGGGGCCGTAGCGGGGCCGACGGGGCCGTAGAGGGGCCGTAGCGGGGCCTAAGCGGGGTCGACGGGGCCGTAGCGGGGCCGTAGCGGGGCCGCAGCGGGGCCTAAGCGGGGCCTACGGGGCCGTAGCGAGGCCGTAGCGGGGCCGTAGCGGGGCCTAAGCGGGGCCGTAGCGGGGCCGACGGGGCCTAAGCGGGGCCGTAGCGGGGCCTAAGCGAGGCCGTAGAGGGCGGCTCGAGGGGCAGTAAGGGCGGCCAAAAGGGGCCACTAAGGCGGCTCGAGGCGCTACTCGGGTTAGGAGCTAGGCGCGCTCCGGGCAGGGAAGGAAAGAATAGTTCGTGGTGGGCCCTAGGCAGTATTCCCACTCGGGAACCTGCTCTGATACCATGACGAGAAGTGAGAATGGAATGAATGAATTATGAAACAGTTGGGTACAAGTTTTAACCCTAATTGGGTTGTACCCCTTATGGGCTACCCCACTACAGCCTATTCAAATGTATAAGCTATGATGTTCTGACACGAAGGCATGAGCGAAAGCATGAGCGAAGAATATATAGGGAAACTACAGTGGTAACGGTAATGGACTGTGGTTGTCGCGCGACGGGCCTGGGACTGAGGTTGGGAAAAAGTGTCGAAGCGGAGGCCCGGAGCGCGGGTTACCCGCCGAGCCGTGAGGTCAGGGTGCGATGTCCGAAGGTGGCGGGCGGACTATCGATGCGAGGGTTGCGAGTGGTATTGGTGCTGAATGTGGTGCTACAGTGATGTACGCGTTGAGGAGGGATGCGAAGTAAGGAAAAGGAATTTTCCTTACACTAGCAAAGTTTCAATTCCTCCATATTCATGATTCTGTGCTTGATACTGCAGTCTTCGATTGGAGAGTTAAGTAGTGCTGGATTCATATTCTCGTGCAGTCACATTTTCCTCATTCAAACACCTGTTTCCGGCTAAGAACTGTGATGCAATCGCAGGCACTGGTTGGAGAACGCGAGCCGTCCTAATCGAGTCGCGCAATCTGCGCCTCGATATCACCGAGCCAATCCCCCGTAACCCGCAACCACCAGCAAAAATGAGTCCGCCAACTTCAAATTCGCGCCCCTATTTCCTCCGCCCTCCATCTTCACTCAATCATGAGAAGCGCAAGCTTCACCGCTCCTCCCCCCCTGACTTCCCCACAGGCTCAGTGCTTCCCCCAGCTTCCGTTTATGTGGCATGGGTAAGGTTGTTGCGGCGTGACGACGACGCTTCGGTTCGGACCACCCTGGGCGCGCCTCGAGTTAATCAGCTAGCACGCTCCCCTGCACCCTGGCTTCTTTCCCGCCTCTCACCTCTCTTGACCCCACCCAACTCGCCTCATCGCGACAATAAACGTCCCTAGTGCCTTGTTGCCCCTTGGTTGCGCCTAGTGTGTCATCACCACCACCACTCCTCTCTTGCTCCAACACGCAATTTCATAGTCTCTGCGAAACAGCTAAGTAGCTCAGAAAGCGTTGGCCGCCTCCTGCGCTATCGTACATCTCGCAATGTGATACAGCTCAGACGCGGAACAGTAGGAACGCAACAAGGCACACCACACGCGATATCAGCAGCCTCGTGACATCCTCCTTAAGAGTCGGCGCGCTTACTCCGTGTAGCACAGTTACTGGCCTAGCGCACTAGGATGAGATAGGCGGACCGCTAACCGAAACTTGTTCCGAACATCACCCGAACATCCTGAGATCGAGCAACATCGTCTCGAGACGACTCTCGCATACGGATGGTGAGTGGAACGCCCGTCGCGTCGCGTATCGCCCTGTGAGGCACGGACCGTCTCTTCCGCTTATTCCGATGTGGTACGACATCTGCGTTTGCTTTTGCTGCTCTGCATCCACTACCCGCCAAACCACCCTTCCCTCCCACTCCATGAACCCGCGTCCTGCCCTCGCCCTCTCTCCCTCCCCCTCCCCTCGTTCCCCTCACCAGGCGAGCGCCACTGGCGCGCCCCTCCCCCCGCGCGTGGCGCGCGAGGTGGCGCGGGAGCTGAAGGCGCTGCAACAAAGCGCGCTCGACGGCATCCGGGTGACCGTCCACGACGATAGCATCGCAACCGTCCATGCCGAGATCGACGGCCCTGGTGAGCCCACGCGGGTTACGAGTGGGTTAAGAGTCATCAACAGCCTTCATCGAGTTCCTGTACTCCACTGGCATGTCTCACTTGGTTATGCGTTTCGTCTTTCCGCCTTTCCTCTCCATTACCCCTCTGCTGTCCCGTTTCCTACCATCATATCATATCCGTCGCGCCGCACCGTGCCATGGCGGCATGCGCAGAGGGCACGCCATACGAGGGCGGAGTGTTCCGCATGAAGCTGCTGCTGGGGCGGGACTTCCCCAACGCCGCCCCAAAAGGTAATGCGTCCGCCCTTCGTTCCCTTCGTTCCCTCTTTCCCGCTGCCTATCTCCTTCAATCCTTTCCCTCCTCTAGAACCAACCCTCCCTCTTGTTCCACATGGAGCTGCTGCTGGGGCGGGACTTCCCCGACGCCGCGCCCAAAGGTAATGCGTGCCCTTTGTACCCGCTGTCCATCTCCTTCGATCGCGATCTCTTCCCCTCTAGAACCAGCCCTCATTCTTTGTTCCGCATGAAGCTGCAGCAAAGGTTATGCGTCCGCTCTCTATCTTCTTCGTTTCCTCCAATCGCCACCCACCCACAACCATCCCTCAACCTCCCCGCCAGGCTTCTTCCTGACGCGCATTTTCCACCCCAACGTGGCCAAGAGCGGCGAGATCTGCGTGAGCGTGCTAAAAAAGGACTGGAAGGCCACCCTCGGACTCAAACACGTCTTGCTGGTGCGCTGTTTTATTTGAGTTTGTGTGTGTTGCTGTTGGGTTGCGACGGGCTCCGCTGCACAGTCGTGCCTGGTAGTGGGCCCTCCGTGTTGAGAGCGGTGGGCTGCAGTGATAGCACCTGATTTGGTGGCGGTGGTGCAATTGTGCATTTTTAGCTAGTTGTGTCTTCTAGGAATTCTTGTGCCTGCGTGCTGCTTTCCTGCCAATCCTCAACTTTCAACAGCTGGTCCGTGTGTGCCAATGCAGGTGGTGCGCTGCCTTCTGATTGAACCTTACCCCGAGTCTGCTCTTAACGAGGACGCAGGGAAGCTGCTTCTGGAGGATTATAACGCGTATGCACGCCATGCTCGCCTCTTCACATCCATCCATGCCGCCCCTGCCTCTTCCTCCGCCCTGACCTCTGCCGGGAAAGCCAAGCAGCAAGCTCAGCAGTCGCAACCGCAACAGCAGCAGCAGCAGCATGAGCCGGGAAGGCAGGAGGCAAATAATCAGTCCCCCAGCAAGAACCAGCAGAGAGCATGCACACAGTCAGCAACAGCAGCTGACCTGCTTTCGGACTCTGGCCGCGCTGCTTCTTCTCCAGCTGCTGCATCTGCACCCCCTGCCACTCCCACCCCCTGTGCTCCCGGTGCTGCTGCCACTGGCACTGACACCGCAGTGAGTTCTCGAGATTCCAGCAGCACCACTCCACCTGCCCCGCCTCCCAGCACTTCTGTTGTTGATCCTACTACTGGCAAAAACCTGGCTGGCAGTGCCAGTGTTTCGTCAGCCCATCACACGCCCCTGGCCACCAATCGGTCGCTTGCAAATGCTGACTCTAGGCGGCAGGCAAAGGAAACGGGAAACGGGTCAGCGGCAGCAGCAGCTATGGGGGAGCCTGTGGCAGCATCGAGCACGGGTAGTGGCGTGGTGAAGGCTAAAGGGAAGGGGGAGAACACAGGCCGGGGTGGGGGAGAGAAGAAGGCTGACTTGAGGAAGAAGAGCCTACGGCGACTGTAGTTCTAGCGGTGGTGTTTGTATTCCCACGCTGTATGTAGTGTTTGTTGTTAATGTCAAGAGTTTGTTTACAATCTTTTGACCAGGGTGCTATTTGTAAGTATAGATATTCCTATGTAAACGTTTATGTCACAACTACAGCGTTGTAAGGAATTTTCTCGGCATTCCTTACGGAGCCCGACTACATCGCGTACAGCAACAGCCGTTGTTCGCCCGTTACTGCTAACGGGACTTCGCCAACTTCGCGCGCACTGTTTTGCCAAACCTCGCACTGCTGGCCCGGCCATGTCGGCCTACGCTTCGGGACTAGCCCGAGCCTCGCTGCCAGCACAGCACTAGCTAGCTCGCACGCACCGCGTTACCGTTTGCATGTTTCGCGTATAAATGTTCGCTCATGCCTTCGCTCACATTGTACTCGTTTGACACCTTAGTGCAATTCTCGCTACTTCGATTCATTGCACCCGTAACACTTGGTATTCAGAGCCTCTTTCTTTCGGACCGCGCATCTCCGCACCCCAGGAAATCAACTTTTGTTTTTTCACTCCAAGGGACTCACGTACCTTAGTGTCAAATGTTGTAGCCTGTAGTGAGGTTTGTCTTAGGGGGTACAAAAGTTAGGGTTTGTCATATGTACCCCAACCAACATCAATGCAACATGTGAGAATAAGCGAACAGGAATGAATGAACTAGCAGTGAAATGAGTACAAGTAGGAAACCCTAGAATTGTGTACCCCCTATAGGCTAACCCACTGTAGCCTACACAAGCATAACATATATAATGTTTGACACACCCCCATAGGCAAAGTGGGGGAGAACAAGGGGTCACAAGACCAGTCAAGCAAAGCAAAGCAAGCTCAGGGTGGATCACAAAGTCACCACACAGTCCGAGCACAAGAGCAGGGCCAGAGGCCAGTTCACATGCAGGAGTACAGACATATATATAAAACTAGACAAGCAAGAGCAGGTATATATATATGTCACAGTACAAGTGAAGTCAAGAGGAGAGCAAGTGAGGCAAGACAGGCACAAGACCCAGCTGGGTGCAAAAGCGCTGATGGTCACAAGGCGCGAGTGCCTTGGTGAACACATCAGCAGTGTTGGCCTCAGAGGCCACGTACGCAAGTCGCAACTGACCACGCTGCTGCAGCTCACGAGCAAGGAAGTAGCGGAGAGCAATGTGCTTCGTTCTGTGCTCCAAGCGCTGCTCTCGACACAAGGCCAGCATGGCCTTGTTGTCTACGTACAGCACTGGAGGAGAACGAGGCGGCTCTCCAAGGTCAGTCAGCAGGTAGGTGAGCCAGCGAAGCTCCTGTGCAGCCATGGCCCCGGCGTAGATCTCAGCCTCACAACTGGAGCCGAGAACTGAAGACGAGCGAGTAGACCGCCACGAGACAGAGCCGGAACCAAGGCTGAAGGTGTAACCCTGTGACGACCGCTGCGTAGCCTGGTCGTCAGCCCAAGAAGCGTCCGCGTGGCCGGTAAGGACCACTGGACTCCGCCCTCCAAGCACAAGCCCCATGCCCGACGTACTGCACAGGTAGCGCAATACCCTCTTCGCTGCAGCCATGTGCTCTGGTCTGTGTCTCCTAGGAGCAACATAGCGTGCAAGAATGCTCAGAGGATATGCAAGGTCAGGTCGTGTGCAGGTCATCAGGTACATGAGGCAGCCAACAAGCTCTGCATACGGACCACTCGACTCTACGGACTCATCCGAAGGCAGAGCTGAGAGTGAGTGGCGAGTAGGCAGAGGAGTGGCCTGAGGCGAGGAGTACGTGAAGCCGAAGCGCTGAAGGACCTGCTGCACCATGTGTGACTGAGTCAAGGTAATGGTGCGGCGTGCTCTGTCCCGAGTGATCTGCAAGCCAAGGTAGCTGCGCAGTTCACCCAGGTCTGTGCACGTGTGTCTCTTCAGCAGTTCGGACTTCACGTGGGCGAGTCCAGCAGTGTCCGCTGTGGCAAAGACCAAGTCGTCGACGTACACGAGGATGTAGAACGGCGGCAGTGAAGTGTCGGTGCGCAGAAACAGCGACGGGTCAGCAGTAGAAGGAGCAAACCCAAGAGCCGCAAGCGTAGTCCTCAGTGTGTCGTGCCACTCACGTGGTGCCTGGCGGAGACCGTAGACTGGCCGTCGGAGGCTCCACTGGGTGCCAAGAGGGAAAGTCCCTGTGAAGCCAGGTGGACGGCGCAGCCAGATCTCCTCGTGCAGGCTACCCTGCAGGAACGCAGTGCTGAAGTCAAGAGAGTGAAGCTCGTAGTCGCGCTGAGCGGCTATGTGCAGCAGCACCCGAAGAGTGGTCATCTTCGGGGTGGGAGAGAAGGTCTGAAAGTAGTCAACTCCCTGCCGCTGACTGAAGCCACGAGCAACGTACCGCGCCTTGAAGACAGGTGGAGAGCCCGGCGGCCGCTTCACCCGGAAGATCCACATGCCACTGACGATGTTCGCCCCAGGAGGGGGAACTGCGTCAACGTAGGTGCCTGTGGACTTCCAGGAAGCCATCTCTGCATCCATAGCTGCCTGCCACTGAGAGGAGTAGGGACCCTCTACGGCCTCCGCGTAAGAACGCGGAGTCGGGATGTCTAGTGCATCCGGGTCTCCCTCAGGGGCAAGCAGTACAGACGCGAGATGAGGTGAAGCAGCCGCTAGACACTGTAACTCCTCCTGTCTGTCCTCTAGGACGTCCGTGCCAAGAGCACACTCACCCCCGACGGACGGAGGACAGACAGACGCAGACTCAGTAACAAGACCAGCAGCGTAGTCGAGACGACAGTGAGCAGCAAAGTCAACGAGCTCAGCGACTAGAGCAGACGCAGCAGTGGACTCAAAAGAGGGGTCAGTGACGACAGTAGCAAGCAGACGCGTGACAGTAGGACTGGCAGCGCGAAGAGAGTCCGACTCAGGGTCGGCAAGCGCAGGAAGAGAGGACTCAGGAGGAGAAGGCAAAGGGGCACGCAGAGGAGCAGTGGACGGACGCAGAGACATCCGGTGCGTGCCAGGGACAGGAGGAGGACGCTGACGCGAACCGCGACCACTAGCGCGAGCAGCACGAACACGCGACGCGGGACGAGACGCAGGCTCACGACGCTCAGCAAGACCTCCAGTAGGACCAGTGTAAGGAGAGGGAGCAGGCAGAGGAGAGGAAGGCTCCAACAGTGACTGCGACTGGACAGGCGGTGGACACTCTACCGAAGGAGAAAGACCAAGAACCTGCTGTAGGAGCGGAACGAAGTACGGCCGAGGCCGCGCGGCAGCTCCAGACTCAGCAGGAACAGCACCAGCACCCTCAGCGACAGCACCAGCGCCACCCACACCTCCAGCGGTAGGACCAACAGCAGTAGGCTCAGCACCAACGCCCTCAGCACCTCCAGCTCCAGGAGGACCCGCAGGTCCAGCAGCTCCGGAACCGGCAGCACCCGCACCCTCGACGGTCGAAGAAGCTCCAGCTCCAGCTCCAGCAGCACCTCCAGACTCAGCAGCACGCCTCCAGCGGCGAGCGTACCACTCGCGCAGCTCCTGTGGAGAGAGGGGCTCCCGGCGAGACGCAGCAGCAGGAGAAACCCCAGGCTCAGCAGCTCCAGACGCAGCAGGGACAGCACCAGCACCCTCAGCGACAGCACCAGCGCCACCCACACCTCCAGCGGCAGGACCAACAGCAGTAGGCTCAGCACCAACGCCCTCAGCACCTCCAGCTCCAGGAGGACCCGCAGGTCCAGGAGCTCCGGGACCGGCAGCACCCGCACCCTCGACGGTCGAAGAAGCTCCAGCTCCAGCTCCAGCAGCACCTCCAGACTCAGCAGCACGCCTCCAGCGGCGAGCAAACCACTCGCGCAGCTCGTGTGGAGAGAGGGGCTCCCGGCGAGACGCAGCAGCAGGAGAAACCCCGGGCTCAGCAGCTCCAGACGCAGCACCCCCAGGCTCAGCAGCTCCCGACCCAGCACCCCCAGACCCAGCACCTCCAGGCACAGCACCCCCCGGCTCAGCACCCCCAGGCTCCGCACCCTCCGCAGTAGCACCCTCAGGCCCAGCACCCCCAGCAGTAGCACCCCCAGGCTCAGCACCCCCGCGCACAGCACCCCCAGAGTCAGCACCCCCAGGCTCAGCACCCGCAGCAGCACCAGAGTCACCTGTAACCTCGACCGGGTCAACGGCGTCTACCTGGGACACACCTGAGGGGGCAGGAACCTGAGGGGGGAGGGGGTCTACCGGGGGGGGAACCGGCACAAGGAAGTCCGGGGGAGGGGGGAGGGAAGGAGTGCGGTAGGGGAAGAGACGGTAGAAGGGGACTGACTCGTCGAACGTGACGTCCTGGGAGGACAGAACACGACGAGAGGAGGGGTGGTAAAACTGCCACCCTGGGGCGTCAGTGGGGAAGCCAAGGAAGACACAGGGAGCAGCACGAGGGGACAGCTTGTCCGCAGACAAGTCGCGGACAAACGCCCGAGATCCCCAGACACGGAACACAGACGCATCGCCAACCTTCCCTGTCCACAGCAAGGCTGGGGACATCGCAGGCCGAGAGACCCGGGGGTGAAGGTTGAGCTGATGCGCCGCGTACCTCACCGCAAACGGCCACAGAAAATGGGGGGCAGCCGCATGCATCATGGACGTACGAGCGACATCCATGACCATGCCAATGCGGCGCTCAGCAATCCCATTTTGCTGTGGTGAGTCCGGAAGCGTGAAGGTCTGGCGGATCCCCCGTGCACGACAGTAGTCTCGCAGAAGGCGAGAAGAGAACTCTCCGCCTCTGTCAGAGTGCAGACGCAGAACAGGAAAGTCCGAGCCGAAGCTCTTCCTGAGCTGGAGACGAGCCTCGCGGATCCAGTCGATCAGCACCTCAGTGACCTCACCCTTGCTGCGCAAGGGGAGGACTGTGGTGTAACGCGAGTAGTCGTCAACCACCAACAGGAAGTAGCGCTCGTAACCCTGCCCACGGACGGGGGCTGGGCCCCACACATCCATGTGAAGCGTCTGCAGGGGAGCCTCTGTCGGGGGGAAGTGGGAG